GAGCGGCTGCCCTAAAGGTGGCACAAACTGAATGAATTTGATTTATTTTAAGTGAAGGTGGGGGCGGAGCTACAGTTGAACCTGGTCGCCATTACGCACAAATTAAATGCTGATAGATGCACCACTCAAAGGCGTTGCTAGTGTTTGTGCCACCCTGGCGATAAGATTTTTGCCAACCCTTTCCACGATAAAAATTCTGCAATTAGTCGAAAATTCTGCCCCTCCATAGAAAAGAAAAAGGGACAAGGGGGGGGGGAGTCAATCCCCTCCCTACGCCACTGGCCATTCGAACATCTACCCCCCCCCCACACACACAATACACAGCTTTCTTCCGGAACAAATTGTCTGAAAAGAACACGTCAAGTCAATACATGTAGAATCGACCAAGGTCCATTGGGAGAAGGGTAGGTTCCCACCACTCAGGGAGGAATAGACGCCCCTGCCTATACCCTAGGGAAAATTGTTTCTTTTTTATAGCAGCCCCCCACCCTCCCTTTCCCAAATTTGTTGAAAATAGCTGACTTATAGCAATCAAGTTCGTTAGCTCTTAAGTTATTCTTCTTGATTTGTGAAAATGTCGTAAGAAACACATTTTGATCCATTCGTTCTTTAAAAAATCAAGAAAATCTTCACAGTCAATCATCGATTGCATGGGTTTATTATTTAAGTAAAAGGATGTGAGATGTGGGTTCTGTAGAGGGGTTGAGTGGGGGGGGGGGCGGGCTGGTGTCAAGACGTGAGGCGTCTGTTGATATTGCACATAAAAAAGAAACCTGCAAAGTGAAATGTGGTGGCAGAAGGTAGTGTGATGTGTGACATGAGTTAAAAGAACTAATGTTACGGTCGTGTGTTTTTTCAGTGTCAGGAGTTAACTCTCGCAGTATTTTTTTTTTTTTTTTTTATATTTGAATGTTTGTGTTTAAAATAACACTAGGTTAAATAAAAAACAACTTTAACTTAAATGAAGGTACTAACTTTTCCGGTACTCAATTTAGTTAGGTAGGCCTATTAATTATCATTTGAATTTCTAGCCCACATAACTTGCAGTGTTCCTTTAACATTACCGTTACCAATATTTAATTAGAATGTGGAAACTTAAAACTTCCATTCAAATGATGGGCAAAGCCAAGTCGGCTCTCTGTTATAATGACCCTATAGTACAGGCGAGAATAGTTCTTTAACAACAACCTCCAAGTAATGCGTAGTTTGAACTAGTTATTAATAGAAGTAATAGGATACGGTACTACAGGAAGATTATCTGAAGCTTCAACTTTAATAAGTTTTTAGTTTCATTTTATTTTACAAACAAAGAAAATAACAACAGGACTCGAGAAATGCACAAAAATACCGTTTAATTTCTCCACATGACTCAAATAAACAAGATTGAATGGCAACAGTGGCAGACAATATACAAACGGGTCAACTAAAGTTCAATTAAAACAATTAAAATAAACGACTTTATGGTATGCGTCGTGATGTCAAGTTAGGGTTGAGGATTACTGGACTCATTAATTAAGAGTTCCGGTAACAATTGCCTATGAAATTATAACTTATACTATAAGATCTGAACAATAGTAATTTCATTGACTAGTACAAATGCCATGCTCTAAAGTTAACATTTCCTAAATAAAAATAAAACGTCATGTACCGCCCTGTCCACATTTCAGAGCCTCTGTATTAACGTGTACATGTTTAAAACAGTGTCCCATGTTTCGTCATTGTAATTCTTACGGTAAAATAGAAATATAGAATTTCATAGTGTAGGCGTAGTCTAATTTATAATTAATCCAACACATCGCCATTAAAGTTTTAACTTTTACTTTTAGTGACCCTTTCACTCCTGGGGAAATGGCTCGGTGGCCGCCCCTGTCATTGTTATACAATTACTAATGCAAGTACTTTTAAGTACCGGTATATTATTACAAACAAAAATGATCTAGCTGAAAAACTCCCACTATCTCCCCCATATGCAATTCAGTGAAGCGTGAGTACCGGGACAAATACACCTAATTAGAGGTAAAGAAGGCCAGGGTGGAGAATCGGCAACGATACCGCCAGTGAATAGTCAAATTGACGACAATCATGTTAGAATTATGTTTGCTCCTACTCTTAAATACCGGTAGGCCTATCTGTGATACCGTACTGGGGTGTAAGCTTGTTACTCTGTGACACTATTATTAGTATTAGCAGTGTCAGTAGAGGCCTATAGTCAGGACACAGTTTGTACCATTAATACCATTAAGTAAGGAAGTAGACTAGGCGGCCGCCAAAAAAGAGCAAATTAGGAGTGTTATGAAGAGTGGGGTGGGATCAAATAAGAGGAATATTGAAATTGTTTTACAAGTTTTTATATTTTATATTTATATCTAATGCATTATCTTTTCAAGACTGGATGACAGGGAGAGAGAGATACGGGAGAGAGATACGGGAAAAGAGAGAGGGGAATGTCGGCATTTTCAATTCACGCCTAGGGCGGAAACGTACGGTTAAAGTTAAACACCTAGACTAGAAATGACCATGCCTATATACTATTACTTACTATTGTCCGATACATTCGTAACATGCGGGTGGGCCGGTCCTCAATTTTATTTTTAAACCGGTACTGAAAAGAGCTCAGCCACAGATTTGTAAATAAACAGATTATTATTAGAATTTAAAAAATGTAAGGTTTTAACTCCTTAAGAGATACCGACACCCACCGCTTCTTTTACTATAGAGACGGGGTGGACAACTCTAATCAACCGTTGAAATTGCAATAGTAATCTTCGATTTCTCTGAATTTCTTTTCTTGTATGATGCTATTACCGGTACCATTATTATTAATTAGGTACCGGGTATACAATTGAATACAATACCAGTGTGGGACACTATTGATAGTGTTGTCAGGAGCTTTGAAATCGGGAGCTTAAAAATTACACAGATTTCAGTCTACAATTAATGTGATTTACTTAATTTACTCATTCAGCCAAGATAAAGTTCCAAATCGTTTATGAATTAAAAAAATAAATTATGCGACTGAGGCAAATGGGTAACGGGTAGCATTAAACATTTAGCAACTTGCCGAATACATGTTGCATTTTTAATTTTGATTGACATAAAAAGAGAAATCAAAACGAGTTTACCACTTATACCGGTACTTCTAATACCAGGCTACCGTATTTCTCAATTTAATTGAAAACATCGTAGTAAGTAGCAGAACAATTACTTGCTTTAAAAAAAAAATATTTAAAGGCGGAGGGGGGATTTACAGACTATTCATAATTTCTGGAAGTAGAAAATAAAAATCCTACTGTTGTTTTGGGCATTGTAAACAAGTTTTTTTTAAAAAATACCTGGAAGAAGGGTGGGTGGTATCTGTATTAACGGGGTTGGAGGGTAAAGGGACTTAAGTTTAAGCTTCGGGTTGAAAAAGAAAACAAACTCACTACCAGGTAGGCTAGACATATCCTATACGGTACCCTACAAGTTTAAATAATCTACCGTACGCTAACGGCTGGCGGGGGGGGGGGGGGGGGGGGGGGGGGGGGAGGCGCCTAGGTGTACAGCGTTTGTACCGGGGTAATGGATAGCGGTACCATGACCCTCTTAATCATACCGTTACCGTGACAACAATCTACTTGGTACAGGTATGTACAAAAAATTAAATTAATAATTATTAATGAACAGCAAAATGATAGTACCAGTATCAATAGTGATAGCAGCCTACCTAACCCATAAACCTACTCAAACGTTCCCAAACACACTGGCGAGGTAACCTCAGGTATGGGACCGGTAAAGTAAATGAGGTATTCAACGTGTCTAGGGACCCCCGTGTTAAAATAAGAGAAACCGGTACATATTTTCGATGTTGGGGGGTGGGGGGATGATATATATTGAACGTACGGTGCTGAGTAACCAGTAGCCTACCTGTACTGATAGTCACTATAAACACAGGGTTATTATGAAATGGGGAGGGGGGGGGGGGCGTAAAAAAAAAAATTAAAAATATGTTACCCAAGACAATACAGGTAACCAGAGACTAAGTTTAAAGGATTTTGAGAGCAGTGATGAATAGAATTATTAGAATAAGTACAGCTAATTGTGTCAATGAATAAGTCATCAAAAATGTGAAAGAGGAAATACCGGTAGAAGAAGACCTGTTTTATTTCTCATTCGCGTTAAAAATGACAGACTCAATGCAAGTAAATGAAACACCATAGCTGCCCGGGGGACACGATTCATTATCATTATGCTTACTTATTATAACTTATAACGTATGGTATCTCATACCGGTATTTAAATCCCAAAGTAAAGTAGCGCCTCCCACCCCAAGCAATGTTCCCTTGTTTTAAATGATGGTAAGGGGAATCACTGTTATTTTACAATACCCGGTACAAAACAACTCTATATTGTAATTGTATAAGTATAATATAATTCAACTATAAGTAGTATTAGAACCGTTAAATTTATATATACCGGTAACTCAGAATAGCTGGTACCGTACCTAACTAGCCTATTTATCCAGGGACGTCATTTTGGTGGGGCACCACCACCCCCCCCCCATCTAGGACAGAAGAAAATAAATATTCGTTAAGATAGGAAATACAAATCATTATCCGACTAATTCTTATTTAATTTGATATGTAATGTGTCGCCTCCAGTAATAAACAACTTTAAAAAAAACTTTCAATAATCTACAAGCACAAGTCACCCAAAAAACCTGAAATAACACTCTGCCTATTCAATACTATTGTATTTGAACCGTTAAACAATTTGATCAATCAAGCCATGCAATGACGCAGTAATACTAATAGGTTATGTAACCCCCCCCCCCCTCTGTGTGTGGTTGTTTTTATTCCCCGGTACCGGTATTTTACCTTAGTTATATTTACATTTAGGTAAAAAAACCTGAAATAACACTCTGCCTATTCAATCCTATTGTAGTTGAACCGTTAAACAATTTGATCAATCAAGCCATGCAATGACGCAGTAATACTAATAGGTTATGTAACCCCCCCCCCCCTCTGTGTGTGGTTGTTTTTATTACCCGGTACCGGTAATATACCGTAGTTATATTTACATGTAGGTGTGGCATTATTCGTGAACAATCTTGGACCGACCCTTGCAACGCCTATAAATTGTAACTTCCTGAACTCTAGTCTCTAGTCAAACTGTACAATACCGAACCCGTGTTCCCTATCAGTCAGGGTGTTCTACTTCTACTCTGCCACCTTTCTAATTCTACTAGTACTAGTTTGTGGAATTGACAAATTTGGGACCACTACCAATTCAAAAAAATAAATAAAATTAAATACTACGATTTTAAATGTATGATCCAAGTAAGGTACGGTACCGGTACGTAAGTCTAAGAGTAGTGAGTGAGGTTGATTACTCATTTACTGTACAGATAAAAGCAGCAGCACTGTGCACATTAGGCACAGGCTGATACATACCTGGGGCCAGGAGCAACAATTTGGAGGATAATTTTTTTAAACCCAAAAGTTTAAACTTGTTATAAGGAACTTATACTTAAAATTTTGTTAAGTGACATGACAGACTGGGGAGGGATGATCACTTTATAGAAAAAAATGTAGAAAGACAAAAAAAGAAGTAACATTCTGTGAAAAAAAGGCTATTATTGAATTGCCCCATTACAATTAAAACAAAACTGCAACCAAATGAAGCTCATGGCCCCTTACAAGATGATGTTGCAGCCAAACTTTGAGATGTCCGGATAATGGGTCTGGTAGGATGCCTGGCCTGAGTGACTATTTGTCACATGACACCAAACTTACCGTAACCTAAACTCAAAAGGAGATGAACAAAAAGAGAAATGACAACTGATAGGAGCAGTGATTCTTTATAGTGATAGTACTAATTAGTACCGGTACTGAGAGAAGGTGGGAAATATGGAACTAGTGTGGACTGCCAGGGATCAGCTAAAAAAATGGCCTATTTATGCATACAGGATTTGATTGTAGGGGTCTTGATAATTTTTTATTTACCATAACCTATTACTATTAGCATCAGAATTAAAAAAATAAATAAAATGTGTAGATAATTGAAGTCACCCATTTCTCTGTATTAAAAGAAATGTAGTTATCTAAATTTTAAAATTTCCTAATACCCTGGGGTACAGCTAAATCATAAGAAATAGAAATTTATAGATAGCATTCAGTGTAAGAGGGAAATTTTTAACTGTATAAACTATGTGACTGATAATAATGGAAAAACTAATTGACTATTTGGACTTAAAAGATATTAAATTGAATCTATGAGAAAATTATGACGAAAATCAAATTCAACAAGACAAAGAAACAGAAAGGTGTGGACAGTGCTATGGAACTTCGAAGACGAGGTAAACAGAACTTCGATACGACCACACTAAACTTCGAATGTCAAATATATAACTGCGTCGGGACTATTGTAAAACATTCCCGGTGTAAAACCAAAATCACTATCCTCATCTTTCTTCTCCATGTCAATAACCAGAGCCAAATTATGGTTTTATCAAAGCTATAAAAAAAAATTATACCGCAACAGGGTTTCCTGCTCAATAAGATTAAATTGAGAACATTCCCTAAGATTATATATACCGGGTAATTAAAGAATAATCAACAAAACAGGATTTAAAAATCTACACAGGGCACATTACCAGTATCAGAGTAATGTTAAAAGAAATATTGAAAGAATGTCTCAAACTCTAATCCCTCATTCAGGACAATTTTCAAAATGGTATTGTAACACAGGTTTATACTTGGTCGAATAATCAATTCATACTGATAATATCCGACATGCCCATGGGCAAAAACTTGAGCAGAAAAACAAGGAAGTGGGCATCAATTTAAAAAAAAAATAATTAAAATTAAAAAATGAACATTGCAGTACTGGGACACAATTCTTTACACAGGAAAAAGTGATAAAAATATGCTTACATTTACATTTTAGTACAATTGGTATAAAATTTTCAATAAAACAATTTAAATACAGCACTATTCAATGTTTTGCAGCACAAAAGCATTGCCATTCAAATGTTTTAGTTTGACCTTCTTCTACTTCTATAGTCTTGTACTCAGGCAGAAGTTTATAAACTAAGCACAGACTTTCATACTTTCTAATAAGAAAAAACCTTATTTGCAATAAATTAATCTTTCAAATTCGGTAACAGTATACAGAGTAGTCAGGGGAGATGAGGTGAATGTCATCCCAGTATACATACATTCCCTTAACATTTAGGTCTGCCATAATAAAAAACATCTATAAATTGATTTTGATACTCATGAGGAAAATTCTGATAGTTTTGAAACAAATGTGATAACAATATATGCAGATATTTTGAATTCGAAATAAATTGAAAGGAAAAGGGGATCATTGTGAAAAAACACCAACATCCAGCACTATTATAACAATACTCCTTTTCATGACAATAGCAGCATTCGCTTTAATTCATTCAGAGATCTGAAGCCCTCTAATACTTTTTAATTAGCTGATTATTTTCAAGACGCTTCCTCAATGGAATCACTTGCATCTTCTGGCTGGTTTAGATTGTTAGGTGAAGTTGAATCTTGCGTTTTACTATCTTCAACCATATCAGTTGATTCAACTAACATTGAATCATCTGTCAGAGTGTTATCTGCTAACAGTGACACCACTGGCATTATGCTAGCATCAGAGCTCTCTGATAGCACCAGGCTAGTTGGTATATCGGCAGAATCCTCAACATTTTTAAGTGGGGTATCTGTTTGTAAAACTGGAGCATCATTTGTATCTGATACAAACGGTCCATCTATTGGTGCAGCAGCAGGAGGTAATTCTTCTGGCAAGAGTTTAGGCTCAGGAAATTCTGAGGTAGTTGAGCTCAAGTCTTGACTCGAATTATCAAATTCAGAATTTGAAATTTGACCCTCCTGTCCCAATTTAGAAGTTTCCGTTGGAAGAATTTCCTCAGATCCCCCAACGTTAGACCAACGGCTGGGTCGACCAGATGAACGTACCGGCTTTGGCCTTTCATCTACATCTTGCCTTTCATCCAAGTCTTGGTGAACCTTCTCCTCAGTACTTTTTCTTTCATCAATATCTTTTATCCTGTTACGTTCATCCATATCTCCAGGGACTGCAATCTCATCTAAATCAATTCTGGGCAAAGGCTTACGTTCATCTTTATCTTCTCTTTCATCTTGATCCAGGAAACCAACAGGTGGGCGTAATGGGGCCCCAAATCTATTGCCAAAAGGAGGTCTGTCCATCCCTCCAAATCCTGGTCCCATGAGAGGACGTGGTGCACCAAACCTAGAGAAACCTCCTGATCCTGGTGCACCAGGACGTAAACCTAAAAGACCAGGACCACCTCTTGGTCTGATGGTCATAGGTGCAAACCCTCTCCCTAAAATAGGGCCTACTGGTTGACGATTACCTCCTTGAATCTGCATTAGAGGCACTGGCCCAGATTGGTGATTTCCCATCATATCCTCTTCAGGCGGAGGCATATCAGAGCTCGGCATATTTATATCTGGACTTCCAGATCCCTGTACACTAATAGCCACATTAGAATTAGGTAATCCAGGTCTTGTAACCACAACAGACCCATTTACACTGACAGAAACAGGAAGTGCTCCAGAAGAAGGTGGCAGCAACCGAGGAGATGCTGCTGTCTGCACTAAACCAGGCCTCACCCCCACAGCAGACATTGGCAGTCTTACTCCACTGGGTGCCAAAGCAAAACCTGGACTTGGCCCACCTTGAACAGCAAGGACTTGCTGTTGGCCTGGAGGCATCATGCGCAAAGACAAAAGAGAGGGCATCCCTGTATTAGGGCTCTGAGCTCTTGACATTCCCAGCATTTGGTTTGGTGGACCCTGCCCAGGCATCATGGAACCATGGCCTCTAAATGGACCACCAATAGCCCTGAGATTGTGCATTCCAGATCTAGGCATACGCATCTGACCTCCTGGGGGCAGCATCCTGTCATCAGAATCCATGTCTTCATCTGGTTCATCCTCTGCATTGACCTCATCATCAGGTGGCCACTCCTTGGGTTCAGCCATGCCTCTCATGTCCCTATCGCCCATACCAGGGTGATCATCATTTCTTTCATTATTAAAAAATGGCGGCCTCATACTACCTGGACCTTGCATTTGAAACCGTGGCATATTGCCAAAAGGAGGAAAGGGCCCTCTTGGACCTGGCGAGTTCATTCCCATTGGTGAAGATCTTGAATTCATTCCCATCGGAGATGAGTGCATATCCATCCTTGGGCTGGGGGCTCCACCAATGCGGTTACCTTGTCCTCCCATCATCTGGTTGCCCATTGGACCCTTAAAAAATAAAAATTTTAAAGTTAAATATGACCATTGTGTATAATTATTATCATTATTAGTTTGTATGGTTAAAAAAAAATATGATACTTAAAAACTCAGAGAAAATCACTTGCATATCAACGGAGAAAAAAAGCACAACTGAGAGCATTTTGTGAGTGGCTTCCATGAAATTCTTTTGCTTACAGTCAATCTAAATTTAGTTTTACAGATTGGAAAACAGGACATGCAATATTCATAAGGATTGCACATTAGGAAATGGCTAGAAACAAAGCATGCTGAGCTAGAGTATTGGGCCGCAGAGATCTCCCTTTACCAGTCAAGTTCCCGCCAGCACACACTAGATCGGGAACCAATGGAGGCCACCCCAGCCAAAGGACAGTGTCACTGCTCTCACAGCGCCAGCAGTTGACTTTCCCAGGAGTCGGGTTGTTATATTTACATCCAAAAATCTTCCCCCTTCCATGCCTGGAAAGCACCAGACGCTTTCCAATAGTGATTTCTACAGTGGGTTTCTATCTCGCAACTAATCTACGAAGCAGCTGGGACAAAACGGTTTTCTAGGAACAGCTACCTCAATTGTTGTGCATTCATAAGGATTCATATGATTGAATATTATGCATTATTAGAGATATTAAGTCCAATAACTATTTTTTACTTGAAAAAATCAACAGAATAATGCAAACCTTAAATATTTCAATTTACAGTTTATCACTAGATTAATGGAGTTCTGACCTAACCTTTTAATTACTATTCTATTTTTGTTTTTCTCCATATTTGCCTTCTGTATTCTTGCCTTGATATCTGCATCAGGTTTCCCATTCTTAGTAAAACTTAATATCCATGCAAAGCCGATGGGTGACAACAAATTTTACCCTTTATTTCTACTTGATGCCATAGCAAAAAAAAAAAAATGCATAAATTATCTCCTCTTAGTTTTGTATGCATTCTAATGTGTTTACATCCTTCCCAAATGGATAAATAACAACTTTTAAATAAAATATCTTGTTTAAAGTCTGATTTTCCATCAAATATTTGAGTTTAAAAAAACAACAAAAAAACCCAGATCAATAGTAGTTTGTCAAAAAATTACGGTACCTCAAATGATGAATTTGAAAGCAAGCAATTATTATGCCAGCTATAGTAATACTTATTCCTGTATTTAAATTAACGAAGTGAAATCAATACCATCAGACTTCACAAAATTATTGAGTTAAAAGTCTTTCAACATCATTTTTCACTGTGCTGCAGGAAAAAGTCATATGTAAGGAATTTTTTTATAAACTCTATGCACTATGTGGATTTAAAGTGTTAACTATACTTGCATAATTATCCACTTTTCCTAGTGCTTTCCAATTTTCACATCATTTGCTGTTTGCATTAAAACTGATAATGTAACCTTTTTCTCTGTTCCATAATATTACAAATCACAAATGGTTAATCTCAGCAATCAAGACTCTGGGCAAACAGCCCCCAAATGTGCTGTACCTTATAGTCAGTGTTGGAGTTAATACTGTATGTATATATTTAAACAAGTCTTTCATTTGTTAAATAAAAATGAAAGGGATTTTAGTACTTGATTAAATTTCATTATGGTTTTGTAAGAAGAAAATCAAAATTATAATTAACTATTGTGAATGCAGGCACATATTTAGAGTTTTGCATGTACTGTAGGTAGAAAATGACAACCCCATTTTTTAAAATTATTAAATTGGCATCTTAAATCCCTATAGCCCCAACAGCAGTGAACTAACCATTCTAAATGTGCTTATGCTTAACTAATTATTATTATCACAACTTTAACAAATTAAGTTATCTAAAACAGCATTTGCTAAATGGTGGTCTGCAAACCAGCACCTGTCTGCGAGTCATATTTTGGTGGTCAGGGCATGATTATTTATGGTTAAATTAAATTATAATGAATAGACCTGGCACCAATCCCTAGTATAATATATGGGTCAGCCACGCTGATTTAAATAAAATTATTATTTCTCTTTTAGCTTTATCCTTAAAAATAGGCTGACGTAAAGGTAAAACAATTTAGTGGAAATCACTGTTAACAGTTTAAAAAAATATTTAGTTACAACTTGGTCTTCATAGATTTTAAGGTCCCATTTTTAACTGTGATTTGCTCTTTATATTTGACTGAATCAGCTGATTAAAAAAAATTATTGTTACTGGGGCGAAAATACTTCATTAACAAACAATGTGTGCAAATTTCATGTAAAACTGAATTCCCCCCGAGAGGTATGTACTAATTATACTATCTAGTTTCACATACCTGTGGCCCCATATTCATTTGTCCTGGTCTCATCCCTGCTCCTGGCATTCCTGGTCGAGGTCCACCCAATCCTGGAATGCCTCCAAGGTTAGGTCCACCCATTGAGTTAGGACCTCCCATGTTAGGTAAGTTGATATTTTTTGGAGCTCCCATACCTGGCCTTAATCCCATTGGTGGCGGACCTGTTAACATGCTTAGGTGACCTCCAGGACCTAATAGATTTAACGGGCCTTGACCTAGGAAAAGAAATTCATATAATTTATAACTAATGGGTAATGTGACTAATAGTTTGAGTTAAAACAGGATTATAATAAAATCTTCACTATATTTACGGGCAAATTTTTAAAATATTTTACCCGGCATAGGGAAATTGGGTGGTTGTCCAGATAAGCTCATGGGCATTTGTTGTGGAGGTGGTGGCTGCTGTGGCATCATCATACCACCATCCATTCCCTGGATCTGCTGCTGTTGCTGTGGTGTTTCTTCAGATTCTTCCTCCCCATTGTTGATTCCTAAGATAAAAAATGTTTATTGAGTGCCATTGAAAATTGATTAGTATATAGTTGAGATAATAAACTGCTCCCTGATCAGTGAGGAGAGAACTGACATGGTTGGTTGGTAGTCTTGTTAACTTAACATTTATAAGGTCAGGGAGTGTTGTTTGTAAGGTCAGCATATTGTCGAATTCCTGTTATAATTGTTTTCCAATGTATATGCATCATAATAAAAAAAAATTAATGTAAAATAAAAGAATTTTAATCATTTATGTGTCTTGTGAAAATATGAAGTCAAATGCTTCAATTATTAAGTTTTTCCCCCTTGTTTTTTCTCATGCATGATAACCCACTTTACATGTTGTGCTAACGCTAATTGACTAATTGTGGATAAAAGGGTAATATATGGATTTGCTATGTGAATAAAAAGTGTCTAAAAGCAAACACAAAACAGAGCAATGAACGTAAGTAAGCTTCATCTTTAGAATTAATAATACTAATAATGAAGAAAGATTTTAAATAAATGGCTCACTCTTGTCGATAACCAGTGTACAGGGACACATATTTCTAAAAAATAAAATAAGGCCAAATCATCTATCACTACTCACCTTTTAACTTTTCTGGTAATGAGTCAATATCAAGCATGCCACCAGCCACAAGAGGTGTAACATCAGAGGGCAATTGTTCCCAAGGGATATAAGTCACACCATGCTCTACATCCCACAAATCTTTAAAAACGGACTCTTTTACGCCAATCCCAGGTGCCCATGCAACCTATTAATAACATGAATAAAACAAGAAAACAAATTAAAGTGAAATAGGAAATAAACTTTAAATATTACTCCATACATTATTTTCCAAAGAACTTAATCCTCTTTTAAAAGTTTTAGTTAACAAAACAGATATAGAAGACCATTTATCTAATGTATAAACCCCCAGTAAAACACAAAACTTGCGTGGTGCATTTCTATTAATAAAAATTCACTTCACCAGACCTGTTTACTCTTACGATTTTGGCGTACAATGTACGATTTTGAGGTGTAAACATTATATATACTGTATGTTTATTTTTTACTATAAATCTAAGGTATTGAACGATTTTGTGATGATATTGTACGATTTTAAGAGTTTGAGGGTAAACAGGTCTGCTTCACCCATAAATTTCTACAGGTTTTCCATTTTCTAGTTGCAATTTAAACATTTCGAAATTGGGCTCTCACCAATCTGAATTCCAGCACCTTTTTCATTTTTATAGACAAACTGGACAGTACATGAATAATGAATGTCAGCGTTTGATGAATAAATTGTGTACCATGCAGACGGTTAAGACCCAGTAATTTACACAAAGGAAACACAATTATTATTCTGAGATGGCCATCACCAGACAAGAAGAGATTGCCAAGTAAATAGCAAGCAATTAATTACCTTTAAGGCATTTCCATTGACTTTCACACCCTTTAGTCTATCTAAAGCTTTGAAGGCATCTTTTCTCTTGGTCAAACAAACAAATGCACAGCCCCGAGGAGGAATCATCTGAATATAAAATTATGAACTTAGGCTACAATTAGGTCATTCTTTTTAAATAGAAATCTGTAAATAATGCTTAGTGTCATAATACACATTCAAAATATTTTATTCATAAGCTTAGAACAAGAACAAACCATGAACTGCCCACAAAATTAATAATGAAGATGAGAATATTTTAAAATATAGAACACTTACATTAATTGTCTTGATAGTCCCATATTTCTCAATATGTTCACGTAACTCTTCCTCTGTTGTATGTTTGGTTAAATGACCAAACCACAAAGTCATACTGCAAACTAAAAAATACGGTCAATTACAATATGGTATTGTACGATTTTGAGATGGTAAGTACTATTTTGAGACTATATTGTACTATTTTGTGTTAACAGGCCTGCTGTGCACAAACTGTAGTGTGCTGTATATGATGTGTGAAGCTGTGTCTTTGTTTGAAGCCTCATTTAGAAAAGATCAATCTATAGCCCATTTTCTGTATGACACTGTAGTAAACACAGATGTTTTTTTTTAATAGACGAAGATGAGGTAGAGGACGCCTGTTGAAGTCACCTGAGCAAAAGTGGCTTTGGGGAGAAGGCTGAGCCACTTTCTTAGAATTGTTTTTATGAATTCAAAATGCAGGGATGCACTTTTGCATATACTTAAATATAGTTTAGCATCATTCCACACTTAATCGTAATGTTTGTGGAAAATTATGTTCCCTTTACCGAGCTGTATTCATATAAATAATTTTACAGTAGTAGTTGCTAAAGAGTAAAATTGATTTATAATTTTTAACTTATTCTGATATATTTTTTAATCAGTATAAACAAGGGACAGGTACCATGAAATGGCACGTACTGTCACAAAAAAGTGATGCAATATTTCTATAGAATATAAAAGTGATGCAATATTTCTATTTCTAATGTGCGTTTATGCCAAAAAGGAAAATAATTGACAGATTTTTAATATGATGTCATATTGCATAACCCCACTTATACTTGTCCAAAAATGTGAAAACACATTTTCGCAATCGCCCCCGTTCAGCTGAAGAATGAAATAATTATGTCACAAAACTAGTCATACAGCACTGGAACAAACAAAAACGAATACTTATTAAATTTTTCATTAGCGCAAATACGCTAAATAATACTGTTGCTGTATCTAGCAAGTTCATTGCGAAAAAACAAAGCAATATCATGATCATTACGAATTGTGGTGGTGATATTTTATAGCCTTTAAAAATATTTAGATACCGTCCCTTACCCTTGCCATGCACAATACATTTCCAAGTAAACACTTTTCCCTCTCAGTGAGTACTTAATATAATTAAAAATCATGAATACTATTCAGTCTTCATTTAACTTACTGCTGATGTAATGATCTCTGACAGGAGGTAGTCCTTTTTTACGTCTTTCTCTTTCTCGTTCTTTCTCTCTCTCTCTCCTCTCCCTATCTCTTGACCTTTAAGAATTTTTTTACCATTTTAATAAGCATGTATCAATAATTTTTCAAAAGATTAATAATTTAAAATGTACTTTAATTCAGACTTCAACATTCCTTTTCAAAATTTATATGATTAATGTTAATTCAAACTAATTTCAATATATTTCTACAAGAAGGTTGTTTAAAAAAAAGGAAAAGCCCATTTAAAAATTAAAATAAAATAACTCAAAAGTGTATATTATTTATTACCTTGATCGCCTATGCCTATCTCTTGACCTTGATCTTCGTCTCCTTTCTCTAGAGCGGGATCTGGAACGCCTCGGTCTTCTTCGCGGTGATCTGGTTTAAAATGTATATGATGTATTGTCAAAATATGTTTTAAAATGCTAGAAAAAAAATTCTCATTAAAAGCAGTTCTAAATTTATCAGTTAACCACTTATTTATTAATTAAATACAAAGATTCAGATGAATGATAAAAACCTGTTAAACAGCATATGTAATCAATTGGTAGTATTGCTAAAGTTAAAGTAACACATTAAACAACCTTGATCTTTCTTTAGAATCCCTGTGCCTTCTACGGTCAATTCGATCTCTGCCATCTCTTTCCTCCTGATCATCTCCATGCCTACTATCCATATCTTGGCTGTTGTACCCATCTTGTTGACCCATCATAGCCACCTAAACAAAAGTTTATACTTAATAAAAATGCATAGGAAATTCCCAAAATTTGAAGCACTCCAGGTAAATCTTAGTTATTCCCCAAAAAACCTTAAGAAATGAGAATTTAAAATAAATTGTATAATAACCTGCTCTATCTCCCTGTCAAACTGCTGCTGCTGCTGTTCCAACAAACGTCTGCGCAGTTGATCCTGGACACCAATCTCTGACTGAAGTTGTTCCTGCTGCTGTGACATCTGCTGAATTTGATGAAGGATATCTGAATCTTGCATTAGCCCAGGGATATTGCTGTAAAAGTCAAATAAACTACTTTAAGAAACTATTGTGTAAAACAATCATTGATATATCTTATTATTCAAGTTGGAAATGTGGCGAATTTGATTTAGAAATTAAAATATTTTTCAACTATAGAATTATAAGTGGTGTCTATGCAATCATACTTTTGCTGCATCATCAAAGGCTGTCGTTGTTGAGGTTGATGGTGATGATGATGGTGGTGATGATCTTGCCTATCATCTTCTTCATCACTGTCCCCATAGTCGAAGTCCAACAATTTCTGTTGTAGTTAATAAGTAAAGAATGTTAAATTAGTTATTTAAATCTAAATTAAATATAATGCATGTTCAAAATTTATGAAAATGAATAACAGTGGAACACGGTTATGTCGACGGGTTTGACAAAAAGTGTCGAGATAACCGATGATTGAGATAACGAAAACCAAATGGCAAGCCATATACTAACATGTGCTTGAAATTTCTTTATGTACATGATGTGCATTAATAAATGCAGGTACTTCATTAAAAAAAATAATTTTTTAATATTACAGTTATTTAGAGCAAATTTCAAATTGTTTCCACATTTTGTGACCTCATTCTGCTGATCGCATCTTGCGCAAGGACTATATAGTTTATATAAGGCAACGCATCCCCTTATTACTACAATACTATTTAGGGACTACTTATTTTGAAATTTCAACATTGGCACATGACTATTTAATTAAAGCTTTCCCTGACCAATGGTTTAATTGCTTTTGCTCACAGCAAACTCTTATGAATGAAACTATGACGTAGTACCTCGGTATAGCCATTATGCAAGTGACCGTGAATGGCTGCCCATGACAACGTTTTGCACACTGCAAATTATGATCATATTTATAATATGGACTCTACCAGATTTATAAATCTGGAATTAAAACATATTTATTTAAATTACTTCTAGGTTCATTCTAAAACACAAGTCCTGTATTTTGAGAAATAAATAATTTTTAATTATGAAAAACTTGTTTATTTGTTGTTTGCTATTTCTTCTTGCGGAGTTCAAAAGCCTGCGATTGGTCATGGGGATAGAGATAACCGAGGTTAAGTGGCAAATTTGGTCGCCTTTTGTGCTAGAGATATCAGGGTTCGGCGACATAATTGACATAACCAAGGAGAAAATGCTAAAGCAAAGAGAGAATTTGGCGGTTGGGCTTCAAAAATATTGACATAACAGGGTTGGCGAGTTAACCCAGGTCGAGATAAGCGGGTTCGACTGTGTTGTGAGTCAACATTTTCATTCTTTAAAAATTTAATTTCTAGAACCTCATTAGAGATAGTTGTAGCAAGTCAACTGTAATATTCTTAATAATTAATACATTTAAATGAATTTGATGTTATTAAGCTGAAGGACCTTATCAAGGTTGTTTTTTTTCAAGTTAAACAATAATCATTTTATGTTATGTTGTGCACATTATTTTGTCTTACCCCAAAAAATAATCCTATTCGTGTTATGTTGTGCACAGTATTTAACTAACCCATTTGGCAGCTTACATGACCTTTTAGTTCTCCATCAATTGTTTCAAATTTAATTTTTATCATGTCAAAAACCACTAAATCATTGTGCTTTTAATAACATTTAATTGCCGAGGCACTTTAAATAACTGTTATTACTAAAAAAAAAAAAAACTAATACATTTAATACTTTTATTACAAATGGATCTAAATATCTTAAACCTCTTGAGACGGCATTAGGGTGAAAAAGACAAGAGTCTGATCCATAAGCCCGATAATATAAGCTTTGAGATTGGCTGGCTGGTCTTCATACCAGCTAATAAAATTGCATATAGCATTTTTTGCTCATCTCACCATTTTAATGACAGCTTACCCTGTTCTGTCAATTTATAGCAATTCTTTTTTTTTCTAAGAGAGATTGCTTTACAAATATGTGACCTTGAAATATGCCTTAAGGCATTTTCACATTGAATCTTATTCAAATATGTATTAGGACTTATCTGGGCCTCAAAAATCAGAAAGTTCAACTAAATACTTATTCAGAAAATAAAATCTATAAATTGCATCACCTAATAGCATTCTTTAGAACAAAGTAAACCATATCTAAATGTAAACAACCTATTCTCAGTCAAGGGAGGGGTGGGTAAAAAGGATTGGCACTACACATTTAATAGGTGACGTCAATATCAAAACAATAAAAAGGAGGAGAGGAGGTAACGTTGAATGCCACAGCTTGTGGTAAGCAAAAACTATGTAAACATACAGGCTATAACAATGTGAAATTTGATATGTTAAGCTAAAATATAAAAATCAACTTACCTTATTGAATAATGGCTCAGCTGCTTTCTGTAACTTTCCTGCATCCCCTGCAGAGTCTGTCCCACCAGTCTTACTAAGCAACTGATTAGTTAACATCTGTATTTGAGCAAGCAGATTGCTATCAATAGGAGGGGTTGACTGTTGAGGTTTAGATATTCTCTCAGTCTGCATGACCAGTTGCTGTTGAAGGTGTTGAAGTTGCTGCAACTGAGATTCAGGAGCTGCGCCTGTGATAGATCCCTGTTAATAAATAAAATTAGCCATATAAGCCAAAATTTTTGTAAATTATCTATCATAAAGGATTGTTATTAAATCAGTAAGCACCATAAGGCTAAGCAGCTATTTCAGTAAATTGCTGTAAGTAATCATTAACTCAACAAAAAAAAAACAACTTTAAAAATCTGAAAAGTAAATGAAAGTTTCTGTGGAGATTATTTTATTTTCATTGATTGTCCTTTGCATGCGAAGATGATAAAGGATGCGACTTGAGTAGTAGCCTTGACTTGGGCTGTATTTAGTTTAAATGAGGGAAAGTTGCTCAGTTCATCAGCTTCACTCTCTATTCCTTGCTTATTTGTTCTAATGGCAAGACTGAGCGAAGAGGACATGAAATAGACCAGGGGTGTTTCTTGTGCATCACTGTGCTCTTTATGCATTCGACGTTACAGGAGCTGTCTGAATTTTCATTGTGTCAATGATATACCGCCTTCGGGAAGTCCATCTCCGTATATTATTTCAGAGTTTGCCTTCTCATAGATGACTTGCCAACCAAGGTTAAATAGTCCCATCCATTCGGGGTGATAGTGTTGTTTTTGCCTTTCTAGGCTTTTGCTGAAGACCAACGCCAGTCCCCATGCAGTTTTAAGGAAATTTGATATATTTGAGGAAACCTAACTACAAATAATATCTGAGTTAGTTTTTCCCATTTACGACAGCAAAGATATGTTGATATTACAATGATTTATTGGTGACATGTTGTAACAAATAGGCATTTTAATTTTGTTAAAATTCAGGATTCAAGGTACAAATAATAAAATAATTAGATTAAGTTATAAAAAAATGAGGGAAATATAATTTGTATCTTGTACATCCTTTAATTAATTTTTATTCTAATGTAAGCTTTTATACTTCGCATTATGACCATATTTTATTTTCATTAAAAAATAAGAGAATAACAGAAATAAATAATTCTCTCACTAACCTCCTGTGCCTGTTGCAAGAGTTTAGTGATAGTACTTAGCATCTCAGTCTGCTGAAGCAGCTGATTTGAGCTAGAGTCACCTCCATTATTGCTAGGGTGAACACCTGGTAATGGAACTTTTTGAGTAACGCTAACAACAGCATCTACAGATCTTTGAGCTGAAGAAGTAAGATCAAGGGATTATACATTTAAGTGAACATTGAATGTGACAACTGTTACATCTGCTGACTGCCTTTATTGTATGTTCTAAAGAAAGCTTCTCTGCATAGAGATAAAAGATATGAAAACATCAAACTCACCTGCTGTAACCAGGTCACCATTATTTGGATCGGCAGCAAGATCAAGAAGTGGTTGTATAACCTCCATTGGAAAAACTGAATTCTTTTGCCATAAATTTAAAACTCGAACAACACGACTCTGAAATTGTTAAATATTGGTATCAATCTGCAATGTATAAATATTTTTAAAAAACTTTTAAAAATACATCTTTAAAATTCATTATCATAGTTATTCAAACTGTTTATTTATACTCACTCGCTCTTCCACTGGACACTTGAAAAGATTTACAAATGTGCCTACAATGTTCTTAGTAAATCTTGGAGAGAAAACATCTTTCTCTGGACCAAACTGATGTCTTGACTGACGTACTATTGAATCAATCACATACAAACCAGGTACTTTGTATTCAGGTTTGCACTGCGAAATTGAAATTAAGATAATAAAATATTTACTGAGTCATGTACAAAAATTCCACAAATGATCTAAACAAGCACAAATATTTGTTACTTTGATAATTTAATGCAATACTTTAATGTAAGTATGGAATTTAGAAATGTTTTAATTCTGATAAGTGCCATGAATTTGGATTGAATGAATACCTTTTGTATAAATTTCTCCACACTCTGTACAACATGCTTGTAGAATTTTATTGCTTTAATAGCACATTTTGTGACCTGGGCCATCTTAGCCCTGGACACAGGTGGTTTGCTTTCATACAATGAGGATAACTGAAACAAAAAAAATTGGTAATGAAAAAGTTCATCATTTATTAAATATGCACATTTTTCTTTCAAATAATCTCCAAAAAAGACACACAAAAAGTCATTAAGCAATATTTGATTCAAGTCCGAAGGGTACAGCTGGAAAAATAATAATTGTTCAGTTCATTGTGTGTGTTAACAAAGTAAATAAATTAAAATTAAGGCTAAAAAGCTCTAGGTCATTTATGAAGTAGCTGTAGGGGCAAAAAGCAGTATTCCTTTCTTCAAAATTTATAAATCATATATACTTTTAACTTGCAGTTATCACAAATATATTTTTGTATTTAAAGTAAAGCCTTTATGCTATTAATCCAAATATATCATAGTCACTTATTTCAACAACAAAAATCAATAAACATGACCCTGAAAATTTGGCCGCCATTTTAACAAAATTAGCTGCGTAATACATCCTTAAGTCTGTCTGAGCAATCTTGTGAGTATCTTAGGGCATAGGACATATGGTTTGGTATTTCCTTGACCCCCTTAATATGTTAATCATCTCATATGCCTAATCAAAGGGCATTACAATAAAATTAAATGTTTTGTTTTTTAAAAAAGAATGTTAAGTTAAACATAAATAGTCGCCTGCCTCCGTTTATCACACAGATCAAGTATGTCAGCTTTCACCCATGGTTTTCGGGTTGTTCGATGTTTACAGAGGATGTCGTGAGCTGTGACGGACACAGCTGTGTTGAAGTTATCAATCAATGTGTCCATGTCTGAACAGTCGGCATCTATGATGTTAAGCGTTGCAAATTTTCCTCCTGTTTATGCTTGGAAGGCTTCTGCTACTTTAGTATCCTTCAGCTTTTCAAGGTGGAGTTTGATTCTGGTATTTCCTTTTTTGTTTACCCTCTTAAAGTGCAGTCTAAAGGTCATCAAGACTAGGTCGTGGTCGCTCCCGATGTCAGCTCCAGGGAAGCTGCGAGTATTGGCAATGTTTATACTAGACCGGAAGCGTGTTTGCAACATGATGTAGTCAATCTGGTTGTGGTCTTTCCCATTGGGGCTGTGCCATGTGGTTTTCCTGGACATTTTATGTTCACCCAATGTGTTGGCCAGAATGAGTTTGTTGAAGCTGGCGAATTCCAAAAGCCTCAGACCTCTCTCGTTTGAAGTTGCGTTACAGTGGCGTCCGCACGATCCTTTCCAGTTTTCATAAGCATCTTCTCCAACCTTGGCATTCCAATCACCTTAAACAACGAAAACGTCCTTCTTGGGTGTTTGGTTTATCACATCCTGTAGCTAATGGTAGAAGTCGTCCACTTCTTCGTCAGTATAATCTGTAGTTGGTGCATACGCATGCACGATGGTAATGTTGAATGGTGTTGCCCTTAGACGAAGAGTGATGAGCCGACTCGAAACCGGTCGACAAGCCGACTCGAAACCGGTCGACAGCTCATAATACTGTTCTTAATGTTTTTGTGGACGAGGAAGCCAACTCCTTGTTCGTGTGTGTCCTCCCGTCCACTAAAATACAGTATGTGGCCCTCCTGGGTCGATATTTCTCCTAAGTTTTCCATCTCATTTCACACAGACCTAGGATGTCCCATCTGTATCTGCTCATTTCATGAACTAATTCCTCCACCTTGCCCGTTTCTCTCAACGATCTCAAGTTCCATGTCCCTAGTGTAATGTTATTCCTGGCACTGATACGGTTTCTTGGCTGACCAATAGCATATTTTCCATCTCCGTCCCGGTCAACGACGGTAGGCGCGGTCCTTGGTAACCCGGGCGACGCTGATCCGGTATGGATTGCGAATCTATTCTCATGTACATGTAGCGTATCTAGGGCAGTTGTCGCATGGCGGCACCCATGCCTTTTGTGTATATTATACCACCATCTTGTTGTGGCTGGAAGTTATCCTTTGCATATTGATAATGGAGATTTTGTAGACGAAATTTTATTGAAAGGAAATTACTTATCCGAAACAAAGATTCTGATTCTATGCAGATTTTTAAGGATATATTCCACAGAAAGGACCAGGACCAGTTCCATCAATTAATTTCTTGTAAATCCAAGTTTCCTTCCACTTGTGCTATATTTGTTTTTGTATATTTTTTTTCTTTCGCCATCTTGTTGCAGCCGGAAGTAGAGACAGCTATTGGCAAAACCCATACCGTTAATCAGCGACCAAAAATTTACCCAGATTCTCTCCCTTTCTCTTCCCCAATTTAGCAGATGTGACTTAATCTTTGACTATTGTTTTTGGACATGTCTGCCATCATACTCATGGCATTGAAAAAAAGAGTAGTGCAAACACACAGTAACAGGGAAATGAGTGGCGCAGAGAACATAACTTTACTTGTTCTTATATCTGTTTGCACCATTGAGGAGGGTGAAGGCCAATAACTTCAATAAGTCAATAATTAATCATAAGCATTTTCCCAGTACTTGGTCATTTATTTGCATTGGAGAGTGTGTTTTCATTTACTAAATTTACTCAGACACAAAAAGCCCTACATGTAACATAACATGATTTCATAATCATAATCCATTTCCAGACCTGTTTACTCGTACTGATTTTGAGGTGTATACATTATATATACTGGTGTTTAGTTTACTATTAAGATAATGTATTGATTGATTTTTGATGATATTGTACGATTTAAAGAGTTTGAGGGTAAACAGGTCTGCGTTTCCTCCCGGTTCCAAGATGTTCCTCTGCCCCCTCAGATTCAGCTCCCCCCCCCCAACCCCTTTTTTACCAGTCTCAATAACTAACTTACGAAGTCATTTTAGTTTTAGCAGTAATCAGTAAGAACTTTCTGCCCAAAAGTAGGATAGGAGCAAGTAAGTACTAGTAACTAGTAATTAATACTAATTATTATTATTAACTCAAAATTAGTAATAGAAATGAAATAGAATACGGAAAAAAGACACTAAAAACTAAAAAGGTTAAACTGCAACACACAATATACACAGGAGATTTAGCAAAGAGATGCAGCTTTGATAAATTTACCTCATTGTTGAAAGCACGAACTGCCTCCATCATGAATGCGAATTAATCAGAATCAATAAATATTCCACAATTGTTTTTTGTACTTAGCTATAATATGATCTATTTGAGACTATTTTCATCGCGTGGGAAAATGGCCACCATCCTAAAACTAATTCAACACTAACGTTTTACCAATAATAACAAGAACTGAAACAGTTTCTACATTTATTAAGTAATCAATTGATTACATATTAAACTCCAAAAATGTAAGCCAGTAGTTAATATTAATTTTTAGTATGAATTTTGGGGATTAATTGTAATATATGAATACAAAAATTATTATGTGCAAGTTACTAGGTGAAATCAATTCACCTGCAAAAGCTAGCGCTGTTAACGCCCACTTCTGACAACAATAGAGAAAGAAGGAGTAAGGCCTATTTTAATAAACCAAAGTGTCTAAAGCCTTTAATAAAATTAAAGTATTTTATACTTTATATATATATATATATATATATATATATATNTATATATATATATATAATTATACATATTCATATACTTATACCTATCGTACTTCTTGTAATTGAAATAAATAGGCTTTAATAGGTGATTAGAATTTTTGGCTAAAATCAAGAACGAATGCCATGGCGTCTTCTGGTTCTGGTTCTGGTAGTGTTCGTTGCTGCATCCATGTACTGGCATCTGTGCAACGGTTGGGGTATGATGTTGCCTATTCTAACAGCTCCTAGCTGATACCAGGGCAGCCTTGAAGCTTTCAACCGATGTCGAGTTCACAGTGGCATTGTCCGGATGGTTCCATGCTATTATTGTGCGTGGGAAGAAAGATTGTTTATTCTGCACTGAGGCACTTTGAAGCATTTGCTATTGTTTCGGGTGAAATAGTTTATGGGAATGTCAGTGGTGAAGTCAGTGATCAGTCATCGCTTTGCTCTGATCAGTCTACCCGGCTTTTGTGAGGTGAGGTATGTGCCTGCTGGGATGGCCGGCACCAGTCCCATGATCACTTTATATAAGAATATCAGGTGGAGTCCCTCTCTTCTGTCTTGAGGGAGGGGGTGGGGTGTCAAATGGCCAGTGACCAAGCCAGAAGTGGTGGATTTGTAGTCTCGAGCGATTAAATGCACCACGTTACGTTGAATTCGCTCCATCTTGTCCACGTCTTGCTTAAGGTCTGGGTCCCAGATGATCGCACCATATTCTAGTAGTGGATGGACGAGTGCGAAATAGGCATTTCGTTTGTAGGAAGTTGGGCAGAGGCGCAGATTTCTTCGGATGAAACCTAAGGTGGAGTTGGCTTTTTTTAAATTTTGTTTATATGGTGTGACCATTTTAGGTTATTTGAGAAGAGAATTCCAAGGTATGGATTATTGGATACTTGTTGGAGGATTGTCTCGTTTAGTGAGTTCATATAGGTTGATGTTTTTTTTCTTGAGATGGTCATTGTGTAGCATTTGGTTTCATTAAATTTCATGCCCCATTTGTCCGCCCAATTAATAAGGCACTTCAAATCTGTTTGGAGGTGGTTGTGGTCATTGTAGCCCTTTATCTCTCTGTAGGCAAGACAGTCATCAGCAAACAGCCTCATTTGAGATTTTACTGTATCAGGGAGGTCGTTGGTGTGACAGAGGAAGAGAAGGGGGCCCGGCACTGTGTCTTGTGGAACTCCTGAGTCTACGGTGGCTTTCCCAGATCGGACGCCATCCACCACTACTTGAATGGTACGTTGTTTTAGGAATATCGAGAGCCAGGAGCGAAGGTTGCCGGTAACGCAGTAATGGTGGAGCTTAAGTAGAAGAAGGCTGTGAGGTTCAGGTTAGGTTTTAGGGTTTAGCCTAGGGTTCAGGTTAGGTTTAGTGATGCATTTACTTAGATTTAGTGACAGAATTAACTGGTCCTGTCAACCAAGATGGCGGCCATTGGAAAAAAAAACAACCCATGGCATCTCTTCTTTAAATTTACAGATTTTAAAAAAAAAACTGTTAAGCGTGCTGTGGTAAGATTAAGGCGTCTACCAATACTACCAACTAAGAGTTATTCAATGTGATAAAAATAAAAAGTGCACACTACTAAACTAAGTAGTCGGTGTAGTAAACTATGACTATGACAAACTGCCGGCAAATTTTAATGACCAATGTTAATTATTATTGACCTTTACCAGAAAATGTTTTATACTCACATTTATTTAATTTAATAGTTGCTAAACCAGGCAGCCCACAACAAATTTAAAAAAAAAAGATAATTAATTAGGCTATTATTATTAAATTATGTGTGATTTTTCATAATCATAAGGCAAGGCCAACCAGTGCTGTGCATAGCCTGGCATAGTATCATAGGCATATGATTTTTTGGGCCCCGAACAAATTGAAAAACAATCGCACACTTTCATAAAGCCCTGAGAAATTGCAAAATAATTCTATGAAATTTTGTTTTATCAACAATAAAATTCTACAAATGGGGTCCCCATTTGGACCCCCCCCCCCCACTCCCCCCTCGATTTACTCTATTGCCACTGCACAGTCCTGAGGCCAGCCAGTGTACAACACCACAGTGAGTCGACACTAGACTAGAAGGAAAGGTAAATGTTGAGAGATGATACCATGATTGGCCGCCATCTTGGTTGAGAAGACCAGTTAATTCTGTCACTAAATCTAAGTAAATGCATCTCTAAACCTAACCTGAACCCTAATTCACTGCAACTTCAATAAACACCGGAAAGACGTTGTGGCATCCACAACTAACATTAGCCGAAAGAAATTAGTTATTATATCTGCACCACCAATTAACAACTTAACTAACAATAAAGCAACTATAATCAAATACATTTTCAAATTGTTAATAATATTTTTCATCCCTAATAAGTGGATCATACAAAGCTGTGTTACCTACTAATGTCAACCAGGCTTGGTTGAACTAACAAAAACAAGCACAGAAAAGGATGGTTATCTGCAAGCAGCTCATAAGACCTGTTCAAAAATGCTTAATAATAGCGGCCATAGGTCTGTCACTTACATCATTTGTTGTCTTCACTGCCTATGCTGCTTACTATAACAGAGACCTAGATTCCCAACTAAACAACAAAGATTTTAGTGGAAGAAAAATCCACAAGGCTGGTTCAGTTATTAGTAATGTGACTATGAAGATAAAGGCTGTTGCTGAAAAGCTTAAAATAATAACCTTAAATAAGACTCAAAATCATTGGCATATTTATAGAGGTAAAGAAAAAATGATCTCAAATGTTCAAAACTCCCACAAGGCAAAAGCATTGAAGAATGAAGGGAAAACTGTGAATAATGATGTAAATACAAATGTTCATATTTTCTACTACCCCTGGTATAAAAATGAGCAATTTGATGGAAGATATGCACATTGGAATCATGAGCTTATACCTCACTGGAACAATAAAATTCAAGTAAAGAGAGGGAAACATGTGCCTCCAGATGATATTGGAGCAAACTTCTATCCCAAGCTGGGGCCATACAGTTCTTCTGACCCTTTAATTGTTGAAGCTCATATGAAACACATAAAGTTCTCTGGAGCAGGTGACTATAACTATAACTTCAAATTATTATGCACATAGTTTAAACTTTAGCAAGAATGTGTTCACTTTATAAGGCATACATACATTTGATGCTACATAGGCATAGGTCTATATGATTTAATTACATACGCATGACAACTAATTGATATTGGTACACATTTTCAGTTTTAGAACTGCTAGAGATTTTTAATGTATGCATCAAGTTTCAAGTAAAAGACACAGGTTCTTGATTGTATTTTTGTTCTTCTTCTACCCAAAAAGTTTGCCAGTTAGTTTAGATAAATTACTGCATTTTTTCGAGGAAATTGATTGAGGGACTTGTACCCATAACATCAAACACAAGGGTGAAATAGCTGTACACATAATGACTAATCAGTTTGAGAGATTATATCATTGAGAGGTTTTTTTTTTTTTTTGGTAGTGCATTGGACAACATCCAAATTAATATTGAATGTCTCCATTGGTAATCTGAAAGATTTCTTTTTTTAAATTAAGCCCAGAAATTATAAGTGATTGAGATCCATATAATATTAGTGACATAAAAATCAATTTGTGCATAAAACTAATTTAGTGGTATCAATGCTGAAAGTCACTTGTATCTTCCTGTAAATAAAATGTTTCCAATTTTACTAATCAATTTATTTTCTAGGTGTACTTGCTGTGTCTTGGTACCCACCTAATCAAGAAGCAGGGAATGAAACAGCTGTTGATGACCTGATGATGAAAATATTAGATGCTGCTGACCAATTTGGACTTAAAGTAAAAAAAATATTATTTTTTATTCATCAGTTCTGGTGAAATAAAAAAGATAATTTGTATTAAATAATGTTTACAGAAATTTTTATAATGATATATTTATTCATATAAGTAATTGTTAATACTGGTACTATATAAATTTATACAGAATCTCAAATCTATGATATGATTAAGACTGGTGTTTTTCATACTAGACTAAAGGCAGTTCTTGGAAATCAAATTCTCTTTTTTAATTTTGGATCTTGTTGCCTCTTATTTTTTAAAATCTTTAAAAAAAAAAATTCTTAGCCAATGGTCAATGGTTCTAAATAAACGACTACTTATAAGGTACTGTATATGAAACGATACACTGCTTTCCATATATTAAAAGGCAGTTAACATATAGGATTTTATTGTATACAAAGAAATTGCATATTTAAGTGGTATGATACATAAGGGAGTCATCGATATAGTACATTCAGGAAAATGGGAAATTTTTTACCCCCTTCCCCCTGTTGCATGCATACTTTTTGGACACCCCCAAGCGTATGTAAAAAGAGCTTTCGCCCCCCCCCCCAAAAAAAAACAAAAAAAACAACTAAAAACAAACCAAAACAAAACAAACAAAACACCAACAGTCAAATAATTTATAGCTCATTATGATGTCAAAAAAAATAAAAATGTGTTATGTGTTTTTACTGCTGACTATTTCTTCTTCTATATATTAAGGGCCCACGATCAATTTATTGATCATTTTGGCTCCTATGCATGTAGATGGGATTTGCAATGTTTCTGTTCCTGGTGTTGATGAGGAAATTTCACAGATTTCCAGTGCCACTTTGTGAGGGAATCATGCACTGGGG